ACAGGAGACTAAAAAAAAAATTTGCATAATTGGAAAGGGCTGGGTTGGGGGCGCAAAATCTGAAGCGGCACCCCCGGGTATGAACTCATAAATGATCGTCTCAATGTGCTTCCTCATCAAAGGCTTTTGCTTACAGATCATTACAGAGTTCTGCGTTTACTCACTGCAGCAGCTGGACGTTCAAGGCCGGACTCTTACACGACGTAACCTTGGCTGTAGCCCCGGGTCCTGAGGAGTAGGGGGCCCCAATTTTTTTTTCCTGGTTGTTACAGAGGGATTTTATACTGTAGACGGAGTTGTCACCCCTCCTATATATTATGGAACTGTCCTATATTGAAAAATAAAATGCTGTATCTCGATGTGAACCAGTATGGGATGCGGTTTGTTCCATATTTTCGTACATATTCATACATTCATACAATCACTGTGCAATCTCTCATCCCCCCCATTCCCGCCTCGCCAAAGTTGGAGAAATTGACTGTACAATGTCTTTAGCTCAGGGCCCTGTGGATATTGATAGCAAAGTGACTCCTGGGTCTTGAACATACAAATATCTGGACATCTTTCAGATCGGGAGCAGCGTCTCCTGAAAATGGCCCACAGGAGGAAGTCTGTCATGCGTGTCATAAAGACGATCTTACGCTGCTGGAGGTGACAGGCATGGCATGTATAAAGCACTATCCTTCCTCAGTAGAAAGTGTTTCTTTGGTATGTTCATGCGGATAAGAAGCCACTGGAGAAGCAGGGCCGCTAACTGCTCCAGCATACAGTCACGTGGCGCATTCTCAGTGAGAAGGCAGCACAGAGACCAAGAGGACTTGTTTTAATAGTCTGGATGATGTCATGAGCATCCAGTAACAACCAGCGTTCTAGGCGTTTAATGAGGAAAAGTCAATTCTGAGAATGACAGAAACGTGCCAGTTCTGACACATACACACACACAAGGGTGCGCAAACACAGGACAGGAAGATCACAAATGCAGCTCAGAAACTGAAGAAAACACACAGACATGCACTCTCTCTCACTCCCTCTCACATACACACACACAGTATAATGCAGCACTTGGACAGATTCACTCGGGTGATGTCATTCCCCGGACGTCCCCTCCCATTCAGGCTGGGCTGTGTCCAGCAAAGCACGTCCAGTACAGGGCCAGGAAGCCACCAGCGGGCCAGAGAAGCGGAATAAAGGCCCAGCTCTTGACACACACCCACCTCACATACCCTGCGCTCACTCTGCAGAAAACCAGCACGGTCAACCCAATTATCAAACGCACATATCTGTCACAAAGCTCCTCTTTGAGACTCGTCATAAATACTCACTTATCTCACTAATTACATCGTAACCACTTCAGAAACATAATCTGCCAAAATTCCCAAATTAAGCTAACGGCTTGGCTAACCGCTAACAGGACGCATGAGACCAGTTAAGCTAACAGCCTACAGTACGCAGAATGACCGGTGGCTGGCATGGACACGCCGAAGTGTAATTCCACCCAGAGAGGCTGCCTGCCTTTAAACAAGGACACTTCCTTTGATCATTGCAGCAGCCACAGTGTTATATAGACTAGCCTGTACCCAGAACTCCTCATGACTCCGATAACTTCATTTTACAGCAGTTGTTTAAATATTTTGAGGCTAAGGTTTAAATGCCATCTGAAGTTTAGACCAATTAGCCAGGAGCGGCGAGATGTCCAAGCCGCTCATGGAAACATGCGACTTGCTGGCAGGATGCAGAAGACACAAGAGGAGCCATCTGGAAAAATGGAACCAGGACAGAACAACAGAAACAAAACAGAACTTCAGAGCTGGATATCTTATGTGGTTCGGTTTTTTCCCCTCAGTTTACAGGCCGCACTCCTGCCGAATTTGGGGAATTTTTACCACTGAGCAGGGACCGCGTCGTCTGCGTTTTCAAATTCGTCTTCACAAAATGAGACACAACGCTCCATAGCAATAGATGAAGACGTGGGTATGAGCTCAGCTACAGTTACGAAAGATGGCCAGCCCCAGATGCAGTTACGGGGGACGGTCCCACCCAGCTGCAGTCACACGGCGCGGTCCCTAAAGCCCCTGAGCAGGCATTAACAACACTAATGGGTGTATTAACTACCCTGCCCTATGATGTTACCCCCTGCTCCCTGAGAAGCTGCTCTGCAGCGCACATTTAGCAGTGCAGTCCATGCTAATGGGCTTTGTGTGAACGCTAACATGCTGAGAGAAGAAAAAAGGGAGTAAGAGAGAAATCACTCCACCCAAAGAAAAAAAGAAAAAAGAAAGGGTGAGAGACTGCCAGCAGCAGATGAACCGGGGGGCAGAAGAGGGCGAGATAAAGAGGAGAACTGTGTGAGATCTTCTTCGTTCAGCAATTGAAGGATTAACAGACTTGAAAATTCCAACTGAGAAGACGCTGATAAGAACAGTTTTAAATAAAAGAGCTTGCACAAGTTTTTCCCCCTGGCTACAATGGGTTGCCATGGTTCCTTGTCACAATGTGGGTGAAGGCAGCAATCCCAGAATGCTCTTCAGCTCCAGTCCACCCCTACACACCTCCGCCAAGGCCGTCTTGCCTTTCTTCCTGGCCTTGATCTGAGTACAGGGCCCGTATTGTGTGCAGTGAGCCGGCCCCAGTGGCACGGCTCAGGGGCCCACCCAGCGAGGCAGAGCCAGACAAAAGCACTTCCTGCTCCCCTCACCGAGTCCAGGGATTGACGTTTAACAAGGGTGACCACTGGCATGACTCTAAAAACGAGGACACCTGTGTCCAAGGAGGTCTGTGGGAGTGGGGGGGGCGTATATCATACACACACTACAGAAGCCAAGAATGGTATAAAAAAAAATTGCAAGCATGGCTGTTCTCTGTAGTATGTGTGTGATGGTGGTGACGGGAAGGTGGCTAGGGGGGGAGGGAAAAAGCAGCCTGGGGGCTAAAAGGAGGACACCCAACAGCAGTCCGGACAAGGGGCTGGAAAACCAGATGAAATCCAGACGAATGGTCACCCTATAATTAACACAGGACCCCCATTAGCATGCTATGGCCTGGCTAACAGCACAGACTCCTATTAGCATGCTATGGCCTGGCTAACGAGGCAGATTCCCATTAGCATGCTATAGCCTGGCTAACGAGGCAGATTCCCATTAGCATGCTATAGCCTGGCTAACAGCACAGAATCTAATTGACTCACTAAAGCTGGGCTAACAGCACAGATACTCACTAGCACACTACAGCCTGGCTAATAGCACAAGCTCCGATTAGCACACTATGGCGTTGCTAATGGCATAGTCTGACTAACAGCAAAAGACTCCTATTAGCATAGCAGTGCCCGGCTAATACCACAGACTGCAATTTGCATGGCAGGGGCCGTGAAACAGAACAAACTGCTTGTGGTGAGCTGCTCCCAACAGTTGAATCCATTATCAGTGGCAAATTGCTTCACAATGCATAGCAGGCAATTTGCAAGTTCACAGCTTGTTTTATTATGAACAAGGAACGCAGATTTAGACAGCCCTCTTAGGGAGGGTTTTAAAAAATATATATAAGAAAAGAAAAAAAAAACACAGACACTCATGGCAGGCCATAGGCATCAGATTAGGGCTTCCATTATTATTAAGTAAGTACATTTAATAGTTTTTCAAGAAGGGCTAGGTAAAACAGGAATGAGATAACGGCTTCAGTGCTTTTTACATCAAGAAAATTCCATCCATCCATGTTGGGGTCTATCCCAGGTAGTACAGGGCACAAGGCTGGGGTACACCCAGTACAAGAAGATATTTCTCTAATACGATTTATATGTTCACATATTGTATATTCCTCTGTATATTCCTCAGAATGCTATTACATTACTAGCTAATACCAAGTAAAATATGATTTATGGATGTGGTTGTTAGTGGAGTATAAGAGCAGGCGGATATTGCCTCTGCGACAGAAGCTTCCATGGATTCTCAATATCCCCCCCTCCCCCCTAAAACACACACCAACAGACAGACACAGGCCATGACAAGCAGCTGCATTTCAGAAACATAACCCGAATGCGAGATCTGTGCGGCAGTGAGACGGAGTATCCCCGCTGCCTTCCCGAAAACCCTCTGCCAACGTCAACTGGAAAGCTGGAGCGGCCTGCAGCCAGGCACCTCCTCAAAGGAGGGGAGATGCTCCCCGGGGGAGGGGGACACTAAACTCCACCTCATACTCCATTTTTCAGTAGCTGTGGTTATCATGTCCTTATTGGAGGAGGGGGCAATGAGAGAACTACGAATGGCACAAAACTATGCCCCCACCCCCCCAGCTAAAAAAAAAAGGGGGGGGGGGGAGGGTGATTCAGTTTTCAGGGCATTGATCCTAAACCCTTGTGGGTTACAGCTGTCGGATCAATATTCGACAGCACCCTGAAACCAGAACCACAGGGATGAGTGAAACGGAATATAAAAATCATTGCAGGATCTGGTACCAACAATAGTGACAGAGACCAAATTAAGCCTGGGGGGGGGGGGGCTGAAAGGTTAATTAACTCATGATTCAAGGGAAATGCCAAAATGAGCAGAATGTGGGAGAAAAATCAGTATTCTGTGATGGAGGTCTCACTCAGGCTTATCTGCAGTGACATGCAGTGATCTTCTTCCAATCTTACAGATTCTACACCTCGATCCATCAGCTTCACACTAGCAAGACACTATCTTTACTACCAGTGTGTTTAACCTCCAAACTTCACATAGTACAGTACATTGCTGCCACCTAGAGGTGATGAGCAGTATGAGAACTACAAAATAAAACCAGACAGTGACAGTTTCCATGGATTCTGGATATTTTGAGGCTTCCAAAGCAGAGCTCATACCTGACGTGCAACATGTGATCCTGACAGATCTATAGTTAGACTGGGTGGGGAACAAGCCAGGGCCGACCAAAGCTCTATATCAATCCTTTATTTGGCTCCAGAGGGAGATTCACTTTTACTTAAATCATGACATCCACACACCGGGGAAGAAAAAGAGACAACACTCCAGTACCACTTATGAGCACAAGTGAATTCTCCTCGTTTAATATTTACAGCACAAGGTCAGTTATGATGCTGGCAGATGCGAGTGCTCAGATTACATCTTAGAAGACTCCATTTCCCAAAAACCACACGGAATGTACCCCCTCCCCCAGCCCCCAAGCACAAGCACACCCAGGGAACAGAAAGAGACCAATTTAATACAACACTTTTTTTTTTTTTTTTAAAACATATCATAAACAAAAACAGTAATAAAACTTCAGAATTTCATCAGCAAGCAAAATGACTACATCTATCCATACAGGAGGTGAAAGGCTAGCTTATCTCTCCATTGGAGACCAGGCTATTACCCACCCCCAAACTGATTAGTTCCTACTGTAGAAACAGCAACCCCCCGATTTCTCAGATCCTACCTATTTCAGCATGGAGGGCAGGGGGTTGTTTTAGTTTGAATAACTTGTCTGCCTATAATGGTCACAGAGTCCTGGCACCCCCCCAAGACCCCCACCCCATGCCCATCCAGGGTCACAAAGCCCGTGAGACACCATAAGCTCTACTGTCACGCCCAGCTTCTGCAGCCAATGAAAAACTATCTGTGCTTAATTATGACATCGACGTGGCATTTGTCTGCATGGACGGCATTAAGCACACACATACAGCTGGGTCCCCCCCCCCCAGCAGTAACCGGGCACAACAGCACTCCCCGTATGCTGTTCAGGGGTAGCCTGAGTGTTAAGGCGTTAACTCCCAAAATGCTGTATACTACACAATCCTCACGTTAGAGATGAAAGGCTTATTTTGGGAAATATACAGCTCAGGGAAGTAAGGGAGCAGGTGGGTGCAAACCCACGTATCCAGCCCTGCGAGGCACCACAGTCTGACCGTCCAGCATCCGTGGCTTCGGTTAATTATCACTATTGGCTGAAATGAGTACTTATTGATTTGAAGGGAGAGTCCACCAGGGACGATGCCAGAGCAGGCATGCCATGGGAAACTGGGGGGGGGGGGGGGGGGAGAAAGAGGATGCAGCAAAGGAGTTTATAATAGCAGGCAGCAACTGCTCTCTGTGTTCTTATCCCGGTTTCTCTGTCCTGAAAATAAAGATTAAAAAAAAAGGTGAAAAAAATACATAAAGAGCAGTAACCATTAACCGCATTGCCAAATTCCACCCTAAAGCTCACCGTGAGAGTTCGGCTCTGGCAAGGTCTCTCTGGCAACAAGGTGCATCACGGTGGTCCTTCCAGTGGGAAGTTTTAAGGCTACGGGGAGCACAAACAGATAGAGAGGAGCATAACGTGCTGTATGTCTGACGTGTCGATAAGCTCAAGGTCTGAACTGAAACTCCTATGAAAGCATCACCGTGGCATCAGGAATTGATTTGGATTCTAGATTTTTCAAAGTAACTGCACCCTTGCGTCGGCGTGTGTGTCAGACTGCCCACCTCCAAGAGTCACGTTGCCATGAAGAAACCGGCCCTGGTAGATGAGCCGCAGGATGCTGGGGCTGCTCACCTGTTCTTCCTCCCAGCCTGTAGAGGGCAGTAGAGGCCAATTTAGCCAGAAGAACAACACAGCGGATGTCTTGATAGAGTCATTAACTGTGGCTAATAAGGGGATTAACATTATTTAACATTATTGAGACCAGCAGCATCAAGATAATGAGTGTTAACCCCAAAAATTCAGCTAGTGAAACTTAAAACAGCAAAACATCAGCGACAAAATACACTACGACTAAAGCCAAAGCTGGCAGTGAGGATGGTGCCCTGGCTGTTTAAGCAGCAGCGAATCCTGTATTAGTGCTCTACAGATGAGACGGGTGATTCCTGAAATCCGCTGCTTTCATGAATTATCAAACAAGATAATCAGTAGGCTACTTACTTGTGAAGAGTAGAGTTGCTGTGGTTAATTAGCAAGATAACTAGTTGCTGATAATGTTTTTGATGGAACCCCCCCCCCCCCGCAGCAGACTCACCCAGGGGCCAGTTGTTGAAGACGTGCTTTGCAATGTCACTCGCCGAATCATCAGGGGAGAACGTGAAGTCTTTCGTCTTCCCGCTGACCAGAATCAGCCGAAGGTTCACCTAGAAATGACCGTGGCTTTAGATTTGCAAGTAAATGGCGCCACAGCCTATCAGAGGCATCCGCTCCTGCGAGGGGCGCAGCACGGGCAGCTTCTCATAGCCCTTCTGCAGCTGCGAGCTTTAGCAGAGATGGGGGCCAAATTACTGCAGTTAGGGAAATGGCCCTCTCCGTCGGGTGCTGGAGAGCCGAACTCGAATGAAAACATGCACATCTTGAAATGCAGTAATGAAACTAAATGACCCATCAATCGGCAATGCAATTCCTCAGCCTGAATGGCACGTGGCCCCAGGCACCCAGGGCTGCACCCTCACCTCCCAGGGGGCCCTGGCCATGCTCATTAATTATGAATGACCTGGGCGTGTCCTCAGCAGGCACACGCTCCGCTCCTTTGTGCCACACACTGGAGCCTTTTAGATCATTTCGGTTCCTAATCATCTAGGTAGTTGGTGTAGCTTAACTACATCTGAAACAGCCCTCAATCATATGAACAATGACATAGATATATAACCCCCCCCCCGCCCCCCCCAAGTCAACACATATTAAGCTAGGACTTCCGTTTCCAAGACACGCCCTGCGATAGCCCCTGCAGTCTGGCTCTCAGGGGCAAAAAAGGAGAAAAAAAAAAACAGCTAAGCATGTAGACAGAGTAGACTGTCCCTCCCCAGGCGAGCAGCCATAAACTGAACAGTTTATGCATCCCCTGCTGGGGCAAGATAAGCAGCGTCGAGGGCAACCAGTACTGAGGATGACAAAAAAAAAAACAAGCCTGACCTCTTCTCCACACGCTCACCTGCCCGGACTGACCCCTGACCTCTGGCACACACTCCATCTGCCTCTGGAGGTTGTCTAAATCTGACACCTGATTTGGCCCTGACACACATAAATCACAGCATGAGGTAAATGACTTTCTAATAGTGGATCTTTGGACAGGTGCCACTCTCAGCAAGAATCTTTCATAGGATCATCAAAAGAAAAAAAAAATTCTGCTTTATTTTTTCCCCCCCTTGTTTTATGCAATTGGAGAAACCCCTGGGTCTTCTTAATTAATGGCATCCAAGTGCATAATGTAAATACTGGAGTGAAATCCCTCGGCAAAAACACAAAGCATTTCCTGCAGAAAAGTGGGCTGTCTCTGGTCCCTCTGCCACCGATGTACACGACTTCAGTAGACAGAGAGGCTTAGGATGGTGGGATGCATGACATCAGTGCAAACCCCAATATGTTCTCCAACACATGGAGCCATTGTCCTCAAATCTAGAAGACGACTCGCGCTGCTGCCTGTACGGCTTTCCCTGTTGGCCTGGTGTCACAGCCATTCCTTGGCCACGTGAAGCCATGATCAGTCCATGCACCCAGCCAGCAAGCCAAACCCCCCCCCCCCCCAGCAGAATGCAAAAATCTGCCCATAGCCCCCAGCAACAACGAGTAAAGCCTAGCTGGACATAACTTATTTCTCCCTTGTACACAATAATAATTATCTTGAATACACAGTGCCTTTAAGGAAGATTTCTGATTTAAACTCACAGGGTTATGGGTAAATACAAGTGTTAAGGCTGAACATTATCAGACTTCCAACCGTTAAATTATATTAAGACTAACATCAAGCCAGTCAATGCCCACTAACATTAAATCTGGCAGATAAAAAGATCCCCCCACCCTTCTTACACATAAACCAAAAACCCGTGATCTGACTCAAGAGCCTTTGCAAAATTTCATCAAGACATTAATAATGGGACACCTCCTCTCAAAGTCCCCATCCTCTTGCTGGTGCCCCCAGAGATCAAATTATTTGGGCAGACAGATTGCCTTGGGGGTCTATAATAAGATTTGGGGGGCACTAGAACAGCGAGAGAGGGAATCGCGCCTGTGCACGTCTGCGAAATTTGGAGCAATCCGAAAATTAGGAAGCTGGCAGATGGCGACCCAGGAAACAGGTTGCATGTGCGTTTGTGTAGTTCAGTGCCGTTTCATTTAACCCCCCCCCCCATCACCATACCCATCCCCCTCTGCTGTCGCATTTCCTCTCCGTTGAGCAAGACCAACAGACACACATACACACACACACACACACAGTGAGGCGATGGTATAAACACAGGCACATGAATTAAAAGCAGGCGATTCGCCAGCTGTGCAGAACACATCCGAGGACTCACCGTATCGGGGTCCTTCTGCGGGGTCATGCTTCTCTATCAGGGGCGTTAGATCGTCGGGGGTAGGGAAACGGGCGACCCCCTCACTGTTTCGCCCTCGTCTTCCTCACCGTGATCTTTACACCAGCACGGCTACTAACAAATGGACCACGCCGTCACATCAAAACAGCATCATATGGTACCTAACGGGCAGCGAAACGTGCGCCCATCGGAGGCGACGAGACGCTGACGGCTCGCTTAGTTCGTCGTTTTCTACTAAGAATAACAGTTCGTTAATAGACGGACGCTTACGAAAAACCTCCACTCAGACGGCTGCACATTTAACGTCCAACACGAATAATTTAAATAGGTGATATTATTTAAATTGGGAGAGTTCTTTCACACACAAGCACAAAATAACTGACCGAGATCGCGGGCGACCTGGTCGGCCAGATGTGAGGACAGCAGCACCGTGTGGATAAAGCGCCAGCCGTCAGGTACGACCGCTCGGCGTGATGGGGATGCACGGCCGGGCGCTATACGAGCAGGAAAACCGACAACAGGGACTGTTAATTCGCGAGCAAGACTTCGCAATTTACACCACTATTGTGCATCAGGGAAGAGGACCCAAAATGCACAAATACCTATAAATCTTCCCCTTCTAAACGTTAACTTAAAACACAGGCGATGTAAAACCGACAAAAAAAACAACGATATTAAACACTAAAACGTCGATCTTTTTATCGGGTAACCGCTACGTGAGGCATTTCCATCCGAAGGGATGATTATCTTCGCTCGATAAAAGCAGCAGAGCCAGCTCTAGACTGACGGCAGTATATTTAGCTATTAACGCCGGAAATCAGCTGGCCCAAACCCCGGAAGTGAGTAGCGCCTAGGGCACACTGGATATAGTAGTCTTATTATTAACAGTTCCACCGGATATTGATCCTGGGGTGCTGATATGCTCTATCCCGGGGGCGCCGTTAGGGCTATTTTATCCCCCCCCAAATAAATGTATATTTATTGGCTTAAGTCATGAGTAGCTTTTCATATTATATATGTTTGCTATCGGCCCCCCTAATGAAGATTTAGCCCCCCATCCAAGAATCTATGCGTAGAGATAAATATGAACAAACAATCCAGATTTTTGCCATTTCATGTTTCAGGTGCGGTTCTTCAGGGCTCATGTGTTTTCTGGACACGCACACAATTTGATTCATTTTGACCCTAATGATTCATATAAAATTGTTTTTACTTGGTTATTCCTATAACTCAGTTATCAACAAAATATTAACAATGGCATCACCAACACTAAATAAGCATTTGTAGATATTTGCAAATAGAATAAATTACATTGTTCCTTTGGAATTAATTTTATTAGAAAAGGAAAGGAATTTTATCAGAAAACTGTTTAATTTACAACTCAATCAATACAGGACATTCATATATACAGAATACAAAAATAGTAAACAACTAAGCATGATGTGTGTAAAAGTGTTAAAGTTATTACTTGAAATGTAAATATTCAGACACAATTTGATACATTTTGTGTGCAGCAGCTAAGCAGTAATACTTCATGAATCCTGCAGAAATCCCGAAAGACAGAAGGCAATACTTGTGTAAATGACACCCTTTATCATCTGAAAGTCATGGTTTTCGGTAATGTTATATTCACCAGACATCCTCTTTTGCAGTGTTTCCCAATCCAGTCCTCAGAGAACAGACAGGCAGTGCCTGGGATAGGGCTGTCTGGCAGGGAGCTGGGAGGAAGCAAAACATGGACCGGCTGTGGGTCCCCAAGGACCGGACTGGGAAGCAGTGCTCCACTGTTATTTGCAGATGCTTGTACTTTAGCCCCATGCTCTCAAAATGCACCTTTAACATCTAGCTTCAGGGTACACAAACATAATGTATTCCATATAACAAAATAAGCTTGAGTAAAATATATTTTAAAATTCTACATCGAGCACATGCATGTGTACATTTTAAGTAAATTGATGTTTTGCACAAAGCAGGGCTGGCTACACCTTTAAGAGTTACGGAGGTCAGTAAAATCTATGTATGGGAACAGTTATGCGAGGGCCCCGCCCAGTTCAACCACAAGTGTCTCCTCCC